TTGCCCTCGTTCCATTGAATATACTATAGCAAAAGAAGCCTTGCTTTGCCTTAGTACCATTACAAAAATTTGCCCCTGCACCACCTAGCTGGTTCTGGGTCACCTAAGCATAATTTTTCTTTTATAAAAATCTAATTTAACTTAAAATTTCTATTGCAAAGTTACATAAGATTATTTATTCGATGAATTGAATGATATTTTGTTAGTGTATGGCAGTCTTAGAGGATGGAAAAACAGTCGATGGCAGCTGATTCCTGAAGGACTAATTAAATTTTAAAAGTATAAAATAATAGTGAGGAACTTCATTTTATTCTGAGAAAAGGTTGGCTATGTTTTATTGTTCCAGGAACATCAATATTTCACCTGTATAAAATTTTATCGAAAAAGTTAATTGACTGTCTGGGAAACCCAAGGGCCGGCAGCTCCCTTGCCCAACGCATTAGCATAACAATACAAAGGGGGAACGCTGCCAGCATCTTGGGCACCTTGCCGCGGGGACCCAATTTTATTTATATAATTTAAATATCCTGGTTTTACGTTCTAGTAGTTAAGCTTATATTGTCTTTTTTACCTTGCCTGTATATTATCTTAATTAAATAATATATCTATTTTCTTTCGCATGTCACGTCATTCTTAAGAGATTTCTCGTATTATAAAATAAAAACGAATCCGCGCTATGGAGGTGTTCAATATGTTAATGTTTGAGGTGGACCACCACCAATATAAGTTTCAGTGTTTCTATTTTATACGTAAGAGGAACCACGGGAAAGAATAATTGCCTGTGGTCCATCCAGATGAACCAGGCAGGTGGCGTTATGATGGTTACCTACCCTCTCGGTTCTATACCTCGCAATCTCACTAGACTAGTTCGCCTAGAAGTAATTGTTGAACGCGTGCCCTTTATATTATGGCGTCAAAGTACTAAAAATTTTTGCTTTTTTTAATTTAATCAGGCATTTCTTTGTAAAATTTTCAGTTGGTTATATTTTTTTAACTAACGTAGATAAGCGTATACCTTTAATTCGTGAAAGTAGCAAAAATTATTGCTACTTCATATTAAAAAAATGCAAAAATGCTGTCCAATGGGCTTAAGCATTGTCAAAAAAATTTGTCGGTGCACAATGACTTGATGCACTTTTTATATTATGAACGCCCTTAATTGTGGATCAACAGCTATTTGCACATCGTAACTGTTAAGCCAACTTTTGAGCGTAGTGATCAACACCAATGTATTGTAGATTTAGCACCAAAGAAGCTGCTGGATGTAAACTTTGAGTATTTGTGTCTCGAATAGTGACGTGATGTAACCGTTAAACTGCTGTAGCTGATCTAGCTCCGTATCATTGGTCAGGAGGTGTAAATGCCGTGTATTAGCTAGTGCTAGGTTCAGCTTGTAGCGGAACAAAACACACCACCAGTTTTTGCCTCGAATGCCAATGCGATACAAAAATATTGGTCAGCTTGATTTATCCTGCTGGTAAATTTGAAATCACGCGGGATACCCACGTCAACTTTCTGTTTATTCACAGCGTTAATCAACATTTTTTTATTTTCACCAGGGAAAGGACATTATACGTAATAATCAGAGCTCATCGTGCAAATACTAAGAACGAACAGAATTAGGTTGATTGGCAAAAGTCGATAGTCAAAATTGGCACGGTTTTACTCTTCATGTGTATTACAAATCTGGTACTAGTAGATATTTCTTAGTTTTTCCTTTGCAGATACTTTGAGTTGTTCTATAACCAGTTTGCCGTAGATTATTAGATCTTGTTACATAAGTATAGTACTTCTACATCGATGAGCGCACTCGGTGCTAAGGAAAATGCCCCCTAAATTTATCTACACATCATGGCGTTTCTCGTCCATTACTGTTTCAATGGCTTTCTGAAGCCCATAGTGATAATTATGGCAGCCAAATACCCGTAGTGTCATTATTACTTTGAAAATTACTTATAGATGAAAAACTAATAAACTACCCCGTATGCACCCAATGGCCCCAATTGGGGACACCGTTATATACCACCGTCTGAAGAAGAAGAGTGAAAACACTATTTAAGTCAATTATATAATTTTTATTTTCTATTATACGAATATATTTCAACAATATATGTAAAGAAATAAATAAATTGTTGGTAATAACATACAGGAAAAACAACAACTTTAGCGTTTCAAGTGTACGTAAATTAACCCCGCAAAAGGAACAGTATAACCATAACCACTTTTATATAATTCTAAACATTTTTTTTTAAGTAATAAAATCAAGATTCACTATTTTACTTTACATATACACTTTTGTAAAGAGTATTAATAGTAATATAAAAACATTACGGGTACTCACATTAGTGTCTTCGATTGGGCACGGTGGGCGCAAATGGGCTAATTACTTTGTTTTAATTGAACCATCTATCTCTCTCGTACAGGATTAAGAGTATATTTTTGACACTTATAATTTCAATTCAACTCTTTTGCGCAAAGAAGTCCAAAGTGTCAACAAATTTTAATAAATCCGGTAGAGTAATTAAATAAATACCACTAAATTCGTACTCTCTCTTTACAATGGCGTTAGGCAGCAAATTTTGTGTTTATTTTCATCGTCGATTTCTGACTTATAAATATATTACAAAGAAATAACCCTACGTAAGTAGGTAAGTTAAGATGGCAAGTTCAAATGAAGATCTTTACTATACGAAGATTGAACTAGAAATGCTGGTGTTAAAAGAAAAATGTTTGTTGATAAGAATCATTTTAAATTTAAATTAACTTAAGAAAGTTAAAATAGTTGGTAAGATTAGGATTAAAATGAATTATTAATATATAAATATAAAAGTATTTATTATTTTTTTCTACATAATTTTATCACTCTCAGCGTGGGCCACCGACGCCCACAAAGATTTGACTGCAGCAAGCCACTACCACACCCCGGACACTCCATACAACAGTCGAAAATTATTTACCTACTACTATATACAGCAAGGCGCTATCTGCACACGCGCAAATGTGTGCGTGAAGTGGCAGGGTTACCCATAACTTGCTCGTACTATTACGTTACGTGGTCAGAGCGGCAACATGGCGAAAATTCTAACGCGAATCTGTTATGTATGATTCTATTAATAGAATCCTAATAATTATACACATCTATTAAGTATTTATATCGATATATTAATATATTTTTCTTTAATCACTAACTAGAGTAATACTGAAGATTTAAAGAAGATTAAAACCACTTAAAATGTTATATTTCGGACATGTACTTTTAGGTAAAGTATTTTTTTCATCTCACCTGATGAAAAGTGACGATGAGGTCGAGGATATAGCATGCACACCTCAATAATGGCTATTCACTCTCGCCTTGAAAAGGCCCAAGCTGTAGCGTTCGGGGAACAAGTCTGCAGGCAGGAAATTCCACTCCCTAGCCGCTCGCCATACAAATGTGGAAGCGAAACGCTTCGTATGAATCCAGGGAATATCCACAACATAGGGGTGGAACCCTCGCCCACGTCTAGTAGTTATCAAGGTATTTGAAATTGCTTGTCCAAGTTTAGTTAATAATTAGATATATTCACCACCTACGTAATATTTATCGGCAATACGAATAGGAAATTTGCGAAGTCATGGCGTCTCATTGTATTGATATAATAAATTTGTATTTTTTATACATATGTATATTACTCTGCAGTAAATAAATGAAGAAAACAATAACTGAATGAGTCTCAGACATAAGTTTTTTTTACTTACTTCGTTTCATCTCTCGGAAAATGATGATAAACAGCCGTACACAGCACAATTCACGACCATTATAAATAGAAACGTAAAATGATGTTTTATATTAATTTACAAGTTCCGTAATGAATAAATGAAAACTATATTCAAATATCAAAGCCGTCTTCGCGCGAAAACGGCTCGCCGGCTGCCTTGTTGTCGTTCAGTCAATGTGACCGGCAATGTGCGGGGCGTGGTGCGGTATCTAAAACTAGGGAGGAGCGGAGAGTGTCCGTTCTCTTATTCTTTGTTCTCTGCCACTACGTATCTTCGACAGCTAGCCATGTGGGCCGCTGGCAGCCCATTAAAACCCTGCTGCACTTGGGCAATCATGTATTTTCAAATTTTATCCAACAGGCCGGAAAAGAATTCTTTTTCTCTTTTTCATGACTCAACACTATTTTTAGCTATACAACAACATTATTTTGTAATTTACCCCATTCACCTTATAGCATCCATTCACCCATAATAATAAGAGCCGTCAAAATGTTATGTGAAGAGGCAGTATGGCGAAACCTTTGTCTACCCAACTAAATGGGTATAAATTAAAATATTCTATATTTTTTCCAATTTTAAAATTTTCCCAATTCTTCGCGAATTGGGATACTTCGGTACAACCACAGACATTATAATGTCTGTGGGTACAACGTTAAAATATGCAGCTCCGCATACCGCCGCTTGGTGTGGGGCAGTTGATAATCGCATGAGTGTGATAAGAATGTGATTTGTATGGTTTTGTTGGCTTTGAAATTCCGAATTGGAATTTCGAAACGGGATTCCCACTGTAGGCCGACCTAGCAAACTACTGTAACTTTTCCGGAAAAATTCCCGAAAAATTGGAAATGTATAATTTGGAAGTTTCATATTATGTTCTACGTTTAGAAATATCTTTTCAAGTTTTGTTTAGCGTGAATTATAAAATAAACTTGTTTATCTAAAAGCCATATATCAGAAAAACGAGATTTAAAATGATTTCACAACAGCGAAAAATCTCCAACAACCATACACTACCGCCAGTTGTTGTTGGCACCATCATTTTCGTCCAGTGACTTACATTAGAATGCACACTTACATTGAAATAAAAATAAAATTAAACTTTTGACAAGTGTCAACGTCAAATGTGGAAAACTAAAGGAAAAAAATTGGAAAAATGTCCGGAAAAACATAATTTTTTTCAAAATATAAATTTTTCCATGAACCAATACTAGCCTTAATGCTCCAACGTTCAAGAAACGCCAAAAAAGAGAATTTTACCGTATTATTTTTTATGGCAACATTGTGTCAATGTCAAACGTGAGAAAGCGAAGAATAATTTGATTTAATAAATGTGATTTAAATTGGCTTTGTTAATTGTGTTGTGTGCTTGTCTTCGTTAAGGAATATATTTCCATCATTTTTATTCGCTGTATCAAATAGGTACCTTATTAAGTAGCTCTAGTGATGTCATATCAACTATATAGAAATACCACAATCGGTAACACCTTGCAGGAGAGTTTAGATGAATTGATTCAAGTGAGTTGTATCCTTGGGATTATGATATCGAAGTGTTTGTATCTAGATGATTGCATTGTTCGTTACTTATTAATGTTGATTGTTGTTACAGTATGGGCAAATAACGCCGGCATTGGCTATGAAGGTACTGCTACAGTTCGATAAGTCCATCAATCAGGCACTATCCAGTAGAGTAAAATCTAGACTAACTTTTAAAGCAGGAAAATTAAATACCTACAGGTGCGATTGGACAGGTTTTATATCATAAATAGCTATTAATTTAGTGTATTGTAAAGCTGCTGGTAGTTTAGTAAATTAGTATGTATATCCCTGATGTGACAACTTATTGAAATATATTGTTTACGTTTTTTTTCCATTTAATGCTACATATTTCATAATATGAATAAGCAATAATTTTTTTCACTAATTAAACCTGTCACATGTCCCAAAGATACACGTTTTCCCTAACAATTTTGGTACTGTAGTCTCCTAGAGGCATATGTTGCATTTAACGTGCAAAACCATCAGCACCATTTAATAAAATGTTAAAATAAAAAAATTATAACAAGAACATTTTTAAATTATTTGGAACACCACCACATCCCTCATGGAAGTATGGCATAAGTGGAGTTACTTCAAATATGTTTAATTGTTTCATTACATACAGAAAAATATAACCCACATTCTCTCCAATTATTGCAACTCTATCTACAATATTAGTCAATAGAGTTACAAGAATTGGAGAGGATGTGGGTTATATTTTTCTGTATCTAATGGAGCAATAAACGTTTTTGACACAACTCCATTTATACCATTCTTCCATGAGGGGTGTGAATTATATCTTTGGAGTTACTTGTTGAGCTTGATTGAGGAATGGAATAATAGTTGCAGAGTTGCTGGATTAATAATAATTCTTGCATAATTTTATTTTATTGTATACTCTATTTAATTGAGTTTGGGCATCACAAGCTTATTAAATGCGGAGTTACACTGCTGCTTAATATCCTCGTCACTTGATAATACTACTCTGCCAGCAGTTATCCATTCTATTTATTGGTGTAATATATGATTGTGAAGTTAGCTGCATTGAACCTGTGTGGTAAATTATGAACCAGCCTTCTGTCAATTTAGGATCAATTAATGATTTTTATAACAGGTGATGAATTTACATTTGCAAATAGTCATTTTACAACACAATACTACACTGTTTGATGAAATTACCTGGTTGCTTTTATGTCCATTAGATCAATGTTATTTTTTTAACCATTGATAATTTTTTGCAGATTTTGTGACAATGTGTGGACATTCATGTTGAATGATGTTGAGTTTAGAGAGGTTCAAGAGGTTGCAAAGGTGGATAAAGTTAAAATTGTAGCTTGTGATGGAAAAAGTAAGTATATTTTATAGATTAAAATTCTAATGTCTTGGGAAGTCATAAAAAATATTATTTATTTAATTTGAACAAGATTTTCAAATATACAGATGGTACACAAAGTTTAAATAGTATAAAAAAGAATTGAATATGTTCGATAATCCTAAAGTACTTGTACTCTACAAAAGATAAATGCTACAACAAACAGTTGTGCAAACCAGACAGCAACCAATACCATAACCTGTATTTTCTTTTCAGATGTTGAAGACCGGAGATAATGATAGGATTATTTAAATATAAAATTATTGTAATTTCTGAAGAACTCTGGATGTAACAAGAATTTCTGATCCAATTTCTATGTATTCATTTTGACATGGTTAGGTGTATTTAATACGTACCTACATTTAATAAATTATGTAAGTGGAGAAGTGCATTTGTAATTAAAAAAGTCTTAAGTTATTCTTAACATAATCAATGCTACATTGACATCGATTTTGTTAAACAATACTTTGAATGGGTGGGTTTCACTTTATACACTGTCCACCATGTTTTATGAATTGTAAACACATCTCAACGCTTTTATGCTCGTATTCCAGAACTCTATTCAATGCTCAAGTCAGGATTTGAGCAGACTTGAGTATGATTTCAAGCACTGGAAATACGACCCTAATGGCAAGGCCTTGAGTATGATTTTCAGTGCTCACTGCAATACTCAAGTCCTGACTTGAGTATTGAGTAGAGTTCTGGAATACAATACTAAGGGTCGTATTCCAGTGCTTTTAGTATGCCTGTGCATGCATTTCCAAATTTGTGTTTAAGCAATTACTACATTGACGTCAAAGACCAATCTTGTATATCTATTTTTAAAAATGAAAAAGGGAATCAATTTAAACACTTAATTGAATTAATTAAAATTGTATTTAAAAGCCTAGAAAAACGATTATACATATTTATACATAGTATTAAAATTTACAATTACCTAGTAACCCTTGGCCAAACCTAAAAACATTGTTTTTGGTGTCACTGTTACAATGATCACTTAATCATTTAGATGTAAATAAATCACGTAGTCAAGTCCCTTAATGGTACAATCCATATTTAAGTTTTGTTATTAGAGAAAAACAAAAATATCAGTATTTTGTCTAACAATTTTATTAATTCTTCACAACAATAAAAATACCTAAGAAGAAAAATACAACTGTGTTTTTCTAAACACGTAAAAAACTGATTTCCACATTCCGTTGCATTAAAATAGTGTGTCTACGTACAAAGAAAATCTTTAATTACATTTAATAATTGTATATAGACAGTCAAGATTATAAAACCCTGGGAGTGTTGAAGCACACATGAAATATACTCCCGGACACATAATTCGAAC